ATGGGTGGGTGGTGGGTGGATGGATGGGTGGGTGTGTGGATGGATGGATGGGTGGACGGGTGGACGGATGGATGAATCAATGAGTGAATGAATGAATGGCAAAATCCGTCTGTACAGGACTTTGCTTTATCTTGCTAAGGGAAGAAGTATCAGGACAGACGGCATAGGATGGGTGGGTGGATGAATGGATGTATGGATGGACGGGTGGATGGATGGATGGATGGATGAGTGAATGAATGAATGGATGGATGGTGGATGGATGGACGTGGGTGGATGGATGGATGGATGGATGGGTGGGTGGGTGGGTGGGTGGCTGGGTGGATGGATGGACGGACGGATGGATGGATGGACAGACGGTAGATGGATGGATGGATGAGTGAATGAATGGATGGATGGACTGTGGACGGATAAGTGAATGAATGAATGAATGAATGGATGAATGGATGGATGATGGATGGACGGTGGATGGATGGATAGATGAGTGAATGAATGAATGGATGGACGATGGATGGACAGTGGATGGCTGGCTGAATGGATGAGTGAATGAGTGAATGAATGGCAAAACCTGCCTGCACAGGGTCGTGGCTTCACCCTGCTCTCTACCAGAGACAGCCTCGGGCTCCTGCCTTCCCCTGGGTGGGTTCCAGGGGTCATAAACGAGGTGACTGCGCGGGTGGGCGGGCGTGTCCACACGCACGGGCCGCAGCAGCGGCACAGGGGTAAGCGTGGCGCACACTCCACGCGCGTGACAGAGCAAGACTTGTGTGTCTCCTCTCTGCCTCCCCCGAGCCCCCGAGAGAGCGGGCTCAGGACACCTCCAGCCCGGGAGAGCCGGCGTCCACCCAGAGCCCGCGACGCCACGGAGACCAGCGCGACGAGCAGGCGCCCCCGGGCCGTCTGCCCGAGCGCGCGGGCCGGGGAGGCGCGGAGAACGCCCCCGCCCGCGGCCTCCCCTCCCGGCTCCTCACCATCTGCATGGCCTCCTCCATCCACTTCTCGGTCTCCTCCGGCGACACCGAGCTCGCGCTGGACGCCGCCGCCGCCGCCTCCATCCCGACGGGGGCCGCCGCCACGGAACGCGGAGGGTGCGGGCTCCGGTTTCCGGGGGAGCCGACCGGAGACGCACCGGGGAGCGCATTCCGGGCGGACCCGGGCGCCCCTGCCCAATGAGCGGCGGCGGCGGCGCCTCGAGGCCACGCCCCCTGCCCGCCCCGGCGCCGGGCTCTGCGGGAAGTCGCGTTGGCGGCTTCTGAGCGCGCCGACGGCGGCGGTCCTGCAGGGTCCTCGCGGCCGGGGGGCGAGGAAACGGCCTTCCGGTGACCCCCCACCAGCCCTAGGCAGCCCGCGCCCCCGGGGCCTGAGGATGCTGAGGTCTACGTGGAATTTTCTGAAACGTCACAAAAAGAAGTGCATCTTCCTGGGCACGGTCCTCGGAGGTGGGTGACAGCCTTCTTGGAAAGGGGGAGCAGGGGTGGGAGAAAGGTGACTTCTGAAATAGAGACAGGCGACCATAATGCGGGGGATGGAGAGGGGATTCATTCAGCCATCGGGTGGGGAGCCGGGGGACAGACCAAGGTCCTGTCCGTCTCTGCACCTGGGAATCTGCCCTTTGCCCGCACGCTGCCCCTTCCTCTGCTTCTCGCCTGTCCTTTCTTATGGGCGTGTGGAGAACCCACCACCATGAAGTTTCTGTTTCAAGGCACCCTTCTCTTACAGACACATGTTTCTTCCTTCTCTTCTGTTGGTTCCTTGTGAGATTCTTTGTTTCTTTCTGTTTGGCACTCTGGGTCCTTTGTTTGGCTTGCACTCTTGGCAGAAGTTTCATAATAATCCAGGAGAGTTACCTAAGCCTGCACTTGGAGCGTTGTTTCAAGTTCATCTGAATTTTTGAAAACAGCACGGTTGTGCTGACGGGCTGGAAAATATATACTAGACAAGAGAGACACAAACCGATATTTTGGGTCTGTTTCTGCTATTTTAGAATGTAAACTATGCAGTAAATTATGCAGTAGGAAAGCGCTTGCGGGATGTTGTGCAATCTTTCTCAGGCTCTTCAAGGTTGGGATCAAAGCCCACCCAGCTGTCATAACTGGGTTGCACAGGCTGACGTTTAGAAACAGATAAAATAACAATCTTGAGAGCCATTTCCTCATATAATGGTCATGTCGTAATATGCAGAGATTTGAAGGAGAGAATAAAAAGCCTCGTGAGGTGTAGGAGAAGGAAATGTGGGAATTAAGAGGGAATTTTTAGAATTTGAGTTTTTCGAGAGACCTTATCACTAACTACATGCTTTTGTTACAGAGGTACTTAAAAAACAGAAGTAAATAAAAAACAAGAACAGAAGTTTCCCAAAGAATTTGATTGCTTTTCTTTTACAAGTAGATTATATTCCGTTGCGCCTAAACAATTTGAAATTAGCAATACTTTTAGCATCAATAATTCAGATCTATTGATTCTTGAAAGTTTGAAAAAGGCTTCCTGTTGATTAGGCAAGGAGAGTCTTTTCCTTGTCTCTGAGGTCTATCATAAATCGATAATGAGCAAATGTAAATTTTTATCACATTCTTTGAGAAATCCTTTATAGATAAAATGTATTTTCCAGTATCGTCAGCCACTGACATTTAATGTGTATTTAAATTATGCTAAGACTACTGAATCCATTTTATTTGTAGAAGCTAAAGATATATGTGTGACGGAAGAAGTATAAATGAAATATTTTTACCACTACTCAAGGAAGGAAAATAATCTGTCTTTAGCAATCTCAGAAAGAATAGCGTACCCCATCAGACTTGTAGAACAACGTAATGGTGGATTAGAAATAATCGTAGGGGAAGCAAAAGAGTATAATACTTAAGAAATAGTTATAGATTTTTTCAAAAACCTATTGAGAGCTTCATAGTTACAGATTAAGAGGAATGAAAAAGAAAGAAAAAGGTTCAGAGGGACAGAAAGAGAAAATAATGCTAGTGTTTTAAAACAAAAAAGGAGATCAATCTAAAAAGAAAAAAGAGTAGATGACTGTAGATTGGCATTTATTTGAGCCTCATATTCTTTCTGCTTCAGGGGAAAGGTCCTATAACGTGTTACATTTCAGTTAATCTAATTTAAGAAATATTTATCGAGTGCCTGTAGTGTTGAAGGTAATATGATTGGAATTACAAGATTTACAGAGATGTTTAATAGTAATAGCTGCCATTTATTGGGGGCACTGTGGCCACTGTGCTGAGTTCTTCTATTCGGTATGGATGACAACTAGGGTAGTTATTGTTATCCTCATTCAAAAATATGGGAACTAGAGCACTAAGAACTTAAGAAACTTGCCCAGGGTCTCAGAGCTAGTAACAAGGAAGCTAGAATTCAGACCCAGGTGTATTAGATCCCCAAGAGATCCTACATTCTCTTTCCACACTGGACCACTTTGCCTTCATGGATTTCATGGTCTGATAGGGATGAAAAACAAGTGTCTTAGTCCATTCAGGCTGCTATAACAAAATACACAGACTTGGTGGCTTATAAACAACAGGAATGTATTTCTTACAGTTCTGGAGACAGGAAGTCCAAGATCAGGGTGCCAGCATGGTTAGACGAGGGCCCACTTGCAAGTTGCAGACTTCTTGTTGTATCCCCATGTGGCAGAAGGGCTAGGGATCTCTGTGAAGTCCCTTTTATAAGAACGCTAATCCCCTTCATGAGGGCTCCACCCTCGTGATCTAATCACCCCCAAAGACCCCACTTCCTAATACCATCCCATCAGGCATTAGGATTTCAACATATGGATTTTGAGGGAACACAAACGTTCAGACCATAGCAACAGGTATACAAATAATTAAAATACAAAACAATAAGAGAGCTGAAAAAAATGCCCTACAGATTAAACCGGCAGATAGCACGTGCAATTGTAAAACATTAGGAAAGGACTAAAGGGAAGAAGAGGTACATTTTGACAGGCCTGAAAGCTAGGTAAGATACCAACATGCCTGCTCAAAGAAGTTTGGCCCTTCAGTGGGAAAAAACCTAAGTAAAAACTTTGAGTAACAGGCCTTCTTAAGTAGGAATTTCCTGCATTTTGGATAGTAACTGCTTTAGACCAATTGGTACAATTTGACCAATTTATGAAAAGACTAGAGCAGTGGTTCTCAAACTTTTTGGCCTGAGGTTTACTTTACACTTTTAAAAATGAAGGGCTCTAAAGAGCTTTTTAAAATTTGTATCTATTAATAGTTGCCATTTTAGAAATTAAAACCAAGAAATTTTTTAAATATTAATTAATTTTAAAATAACAATAGCAAACCCATTACTTCTTAACATAAATATTTTCAAAAAAAAATAGTGAGAAGAGTGGCATTATTTTACATTTTTGAAAATCTCTTTACTGTCTGGCTTAATTGAAGAAAGCTGGGTTCTCATATCTCTTCATGCATTCAGTCAGTTGTGATACGACGTGTTATGTAGCCTCTAGAATACTCCACTGTACAATCATGGGAGAATGAAAATGAAAAAGGCAAATAGCATTTTAGTGTAATTACGAAAATAGTTTTGATGCACAGATCCCCTGGGAGGGTATTAAACACCTCAGGAGTTTCCAAGCCACGCTTTGAAAACCACTACACTAGAGAAAGTGTTGCAGAACAGAGAACAACCAGATTCATATTTATTGGCTTACTGATTTCCAAAAATCCCAGAGCATTGGTTTATATTTTATATCGTAATCCCTGTAATTTCTGGTCTTTTCAGTTTTTCATTTATTCATTCATTCATTCTTTCATTCAATAAACATTTGACTGAGAGTAAGAGCCTACTCTCACTACATCGGGCTCTGGAAACACAAAGGAAGAAGTCACAGTTCTTGACATTGAGGAACTCACAGTGCAGTCTGGAAAGCAGAAATGGAAATAAACAGAAGTGGTACAGTGATAGAATTATAGTACCATAACAGAGCCGGGTGCTGTGGGAGTATCAAGGAGAGAGAAATGGGAAGATGTCTGGCAAGCTTCACTCAAGACTCCACTTGAGTGAAGTTGTACAGCTAACAGAGGAGAAGGGGCCAAGCAGGAAAGAGGGATGTCCAGCAGATACAGAGACATCGCTTTTGATGAATCCAAGTGTATCTCACTACAGCTAAGCACAGGGAGCAAATGGGGAGTGGCACAAGATGAATTTGGAGAACTAGCTGAGTGCAAATTGTGAAGGCCTTCCTTATTGTGCCGTTCTTCTGAATTTGGACGTTATCCTGTGTATCAGTGCTTCTCAGACTTTAGTACGGACAACAGTCACTTACGGGGCTTAATAAAAATATAGAATCCATGGGCCGGCCCTGTGGCTTGGTGGTTAAGTGCGCGCGCTGCGATACTGGTGGCCCGGGTTCGGATCCCGGGTGCGCATCGAGGCACCACTTCTCCGTTCATCCTGAGGCCGAGTCCCACATACAGCAACTAGAAGGATGTGCAGCTACGACACACAACTATCCACTGGGGCTTTGGGGGGAAAAATAAAATAAATAAAATCTTTAAAAAAAAAAAAATATATAGAATCCTTTTGCCCAGATTCTAATTCTTTAGGTCCGGAGTGCAGTTCATTAATTCGTTAATTCATTCAGCAAATATTTATTGAGCTCCGATTTGTACCAATATTATGTATTGGGGGTGCAGCATCGTATAAGACAAGACATTTGGGGATGTTTTCGAGGAACTTCCTTAAAGACTACATTTTTGACAAGTACCCCCAACCAATTCTGAGTGGAACAGAGAATGCCTGTTAAGAAGTGATGGCAGGGTGTTGAAGCAATTTAAACACAAGAATGTCAGATTTAAGTTTCAGAAAATCGCTTTGCATATAAAAGATGGATTGGAAAGGTGTGAGACCAGAAACAAAAGAGGAAAGTTAGGAAGCTGTCAAACCTGTTCAAGAGCGTTAATATTCAGGGTCTGAATGAAGACAGTGATGAGGGAGTTGGAGTACAGTGGCAAGATTTAGAAAATATTTCTGAAATAGAATCAGAATGGCAGGTCTGTTGGTTTGAGAGCGATGTTAACAGATTATTTTCGAACTCTTATTGAAATTATTAATCTAGTAAAATAGTTGTATTGCAGAGATTTTCATCCAGGAAGAGAAGATTGAGATGGTTTTGAAAACCCATATTTATTATATGGAAAAACTAGAAGATATTTTGCTTTACCAGCAGTGTTCTGAAAGGAAACCTCAAAACATTTTACGTTTATTTTTTTGAGGTATTTGGTGAATGTTTTCATTATCCATAAAGTCATAGCTACAGAAGAAACTTGAAAGCTCATATAATCATATAGTCACATCAATATAATCATATAAATCCCATATAATTCTGTAATGAAATTTTATGAATGAAGAAATTTAGGGGGCTGGCCTGGTGGTGCAGCAGTTAAGTGCGTGCACTCTGCTGCGGCGGCCCAGGGTTCGCAGGTTCGGATCCCGGGCGCTTACCAACACACCGCTTGTCAAGCCATGCTGTGGCGGCGTCCCATATAAAGTAGAGGAAGATGGGCACGGATGCTAGCCCACGGCCAGGCTTCCTCAGCAAAAAGAGGAGGACTGATGACAGATGTTAGCTCAGGGCTAATCTTCCTTCCAAAAAATAAATAAATAAAAATAAAGTCTAATATGAAAAAATTAAAAAAATAATAATAATAATTTAAGAAAAAACAAAGAACGAAATTTAGACCAAAAGAGAAGACGGGACTGGCTCCAAGTTCCCTACCTCGTTGGTCCCACAGCCATCAATATCTACTATCTTCCAAGCCAGAATTCAGGCAGCCAGCCCAGTGTATAGTTGATCCTGAGCTCCATATTTTAGCTAATGAATTCTCTACCTTCATTCCTATTTTCCTAGGGAGACAAATCTGACAGAATCAGAATCTATGAATTTTGAGAAAGAGAGCCTGGGTAAATTAGACCTTGTGTATGTACTTACTTCACTGCTAAGTCAAGAAAAATAATGGATTGAGGGATTTTAGCCTAATTCCATTTATTAGTTTGCTAGCGCTGCCATAACAAAGTACCACAAACTGAGTGGCTTAAAGCAATAGAAATTTACTGACTCACAATTCTGGAAGCCAGAAGTGTGCTGGCAGGATTTGTTCCTTCTGAGGGCTGTGAGAGAAAGATCTGTTCCAGGTCCATATTGTTAGCTTCTAGATGGCCATCTCCTCCCTCTGTCTTTACATCATCTTCACTATACATGTCTGTATCCAAGTTTCCTCTTCTTATAGGAACACCAGTCATAATGGATTAGGGCCCACCCTAATGACCTTTTAACTAGATTACCTCTGTAAAGGCCCTGTCTCCAATTAAGGTCACATTCTGAAGTACTGGGGCTTCAAATATGAATTTTGGGGGATGACACACTTCAACCCATAACAATTCATTTTCTTCTTTCAGCTTTAGTTAGAATATACTGCATTTATCAAACAAATATGGTAGCCTGAAAAATTTTTATCAAACCCTGTTGAGAATCTAATGAACGCAATGGACCTTCTCCCCAGGAAAACACATATACCAGTCAAATTTACTGTTATTCCAGGAAATTCTTAGCTATACAAAGAGTGTCATTACAACATTTCATTTTATACTATTACAATTATTTGAGAAATAATAATCATTTTATACATAACTTTTAGCATTCTGTTGTGCAAATTAAATTCAAGCAATTCTTTGAGAAGTAGTTGGTATGTAAATAGAGTTGCCCGTCAAAGGGTTACTTTGTAAAACATAAGTAGTTTCTTCATTCTGTTCGTATTGTGACATTGTCACCAATTGATTAAGGATGGATTATAAGAAAGGTGTCTGTGAAGCCACTTATATGAACTTTTATTTGTTCTTTAAGCATGATTATAATATTTATTTGTACAAACATAGCAATCATACTTTATTTCTGTCTAATTATTTGTTGCACATACCCTTTTACTGAACTATTATTTGTGTGTGTGTGTGTGAGGAAGATCGGCCCTGAGCTAACATCTGCCAATCCTCTTTTTTGCTGAGGAATACTGGCCCTGGACTAACATCCATGCTTGTCTTCCTCCACTTTATATGGGACGCCGCCACAGCATGGCCTAACAAGCAGTGTGCCGGTGCGCGCCTGGGATCCGAACCGGCGGACCCCGGGCCACCGCAGCGGAGCGCGCACACTTAACCGCTTGCGCCAGTGGGCCAGCCCCTGAACTATTATTTTTAAGAACATATAGCATGTTATCAGTTCATGTGTAATGCTTATATTGGTGAAATAATTCAGAATATGTGTTTGCAGTTCCTAGAGGGCTGCCTCCTTCCCAAACTGTGACAAACAGATCAAATCCAATTATTTAGGTCATGCACAGTACTAAGGTTCTTTTTGGTAGATATTGGGGGCCACAGACAGCTGGAGGCAGGTGAGGATTAGTTACTGCCCTGCAACCTTGTTGCCAGGTTATAATGAAACGAATTCTGGCACACATGCAAACATCTATTAGCAAGCAGAGATAACCTGTATCATAACTTGTTGAGTAAACCTATTGAAGTCCCAGTGTCTTTTTTTGGTGCTACAACAGAACCATGCATAAAGGATTTACCTGAAGCAGAAGCAGCAGCGTTCTAGCTGTAGAGGACTCTGCTGGCCTTTTGGTTAACTCCTTTGACTGAGAATTCTCCAGACTAGCAGCTGAGGATTCGAGGCTAAGCTATTCCTAGGGGGGAAGGACTTGCTAGATTCGTATATTCTTTTTCAAGTGAGTAGTACTAAAATGTTTTGGCTAATCCAGTATCTTAAACACTACTAATGAAAATCTGTTTCCAGTATTCATTATGCTAGCTAAAAGTTAGTTGAAGTGCTTAAACCTTGGAGTTTGGCTTTCGATCACATGCTAACTGACCACTCTGGAGTGTTCAAATTCCCAGCTGGACAGCTGACTGCCCCTAGGGTATGGACCAAAATATGCACATTTATATCATACTGTCCGTGCTGAAATGTGTGAAAGTAACTTGCAGGCCACATGACCCCACCTGTATTTTTATACTACAGTGTTATAATTTAGGAATTTTTGTAGCCTCTTCTCCCTCCCTTTTTCACTTAAGTTACTAATTTTAGATGTCTGCCTGACTACCTATCTTTCTTTTGTTCTTCCTTTTAAAATTATCTTATATTTTTAAAAAGTATTATATGTTGTTTGAAGACTATATGGAAAATATAGAGAATCAAACAGAGGGAAAAAATCACCTGCTATCCCACTGCTCAACAATAATCATTGTTGATTATATGTTAGAAATTAAAACCCATGTTTTTCTGTGCATCTACTTACATTTGTTAAAAGCAAAACTTCCAGGATCTTATTTTATCATCTAACAATATAATATGGATATTTCCTTGAGTCATTAACTATTGACAATGTAGTTTTTAATAGCTATGTAAGATTCCATTGTCTGGATAAAACATAATTTGTTTAAACAATTCCCCATTGCTGGACATTTAGAATATCTCCAGTTCACTATTAAGGGCATGGCCAGACTTTGTAGACTTAATTCCTTTATGTTTCTCCAGACCTGGTCCTTCTGTACCCATCTGCCCTTGGCTATTAAAATGACAATCTCTTTTTCCTTCTCTTTAGGTCACAATTCTTTAATTTAGGTTTTTAAAAGTTGTAATTTTTAGCTTGTCACTAATATAAGCCTTCTGTTTGGATAAAGCTGGTTAAAAATACTGTTTGGAATTTTTAATACTCTAATTAACTGAATTAATATACTAGCTTGTTTTAAAAAAAATAATTTTAGGAGTATATATCCTGGGGAAATATGGGCAGAAGAAAATCAGAGAAATACAAGAAAGGGAGGCTGCAGAATACATTGCCCAGGCCCGACGACAGTATCATTTTGAAAGTAACCAGAGGACTTGCAATATGACAGGTAAGGCAAAGAGAAATATTTGTACCTGTATAAAGCTACTTGATGATTTGTGTTAATTTGCATATGTCAGGACCAAAGTTAGAGGAAAAGACAAAGGAAGAACGATAAATCTAGCAAGTATTTACATGATTTAACTGAAATACATCATTTAATGTGGATTTTAAAAATCACTGTAAATCAATATACACTATAAATGCCTGTTCATTCATTTTATTTATTCATTAGGTAAATACTTCGGTTACCCAGCACTGGGGAGATAGAAGGTGAACAATAAAAAAAAAAATCCCTGACCTTCAGAGTTCATATGCTAGTGAGAGAAAAAGATGATAAACAGCAAATAAATAACTATAGGCAATGATGGCTGCTATAAGGAGAATAAAGCTGTGTGAGGAGTGGAGCAAAGACAGGGTAGTCAGCAGATCAGGCCTATTTGAGGAGAAACCTGACCGTACAGTGGAGGGAGCCATGCAAAATGTCTGAGGTGGGAACAAGTTTGGCACGTCCAAGAAACAGCAAAAAGGCTGTGTAGCTAGAACAGAATGAGCAATGGGAGAGTGCTAGGAGGTCAGGCTACAGGGGTGGGCTCATCCCGTTGGGCCTTCTGTGTCATAGTAGAGAGTCATGAGTGTGTTAAATTTACGGTAGACAGCTGCAGACCTGTAAGTCCAGTGCAGTACTACACTCAGTCCATGTTAATTAATGGTAAACCTCCTGGGCGGCTGCCACCGCAAAATCAGCTGCCCATATTTGAAGAGAACAAGGTGTTATGTTATAACGGACATAACTCCTTGAAGAGTTAGTTCTCAGATCCACGTCAAACCTGTTTTTCTTTTTTATTGTTTAAAAAAGCTTAATCCTTTAACATTTCTTTCAAGAACAATTAATTTAGGAAAAAACTTTTGAAGGTGGGTTCTCTTTGTTCAATTTTGAAAGTAAAATTTTTTTCAGAGTGGAAATGACTTTATTATTAGTTCAGTCTCATTTGACAGATAGAAAAGCTGAGGTTAAGGTTGAGAGACACATCCAAAGTTACAGCTGGGATATGATTTTTAATATTTGAAGTAATAATACTTCATTCTATAAAGCAAGTAGTAATCGTAAATACTGTATGTAATGACAACTCGATAAGGCCTGGTGAGTAAGAGCACAGGCTCGAGGGAAAGGCAGATCTGGGTCAGTTCCCAGTGTTGCCTTGTAACATCTGTGTGTGTTGGGCAAATCTGAATCTCATTCTGTGTCCTCTAGAAAATGATCATCATAAAACCCAGTTCATACGTGTTTTGTGAGAATGTGATGAGATAATGCATATAAAGTGCTTGGTACATAATAAATACTCAGTAAATGATAACTTTTTAAAAATTGCGTAATTCTTTAAATTGATATTTAGCATTTAATGTGGTGCTGCCAAGGACATTTTAGTGAATTTTTAGGGCATAAGAACAGTCCATTTCTGGTTATTACTCAAATTTTCAGAAAATAGAAAAAGGTGGGTCCTGGGATCTCAAAATACATCTCATATTGACAGGGACCTGTGGTCACTTTGGGTCCTCTGGGAAGCAGATGCTAAGATGGGACTAGACTTACTGGGGGAAACACCTGTGAATCATAAGGGGGAGGGAGCAGCAGTGGGCATGGAAAGTGCAGGTCTGACCCATGAATGGAAACAGAGAGGGAAGGAACATTAGGTAAGAAGAGTCTCCCACTACAGCACAGTTCCAAGAAAGTTTTGGCAGGCCAATAGGGAATCCCCAAGCCAGAGTTCCCTGGTAGAGGGGTCCCGCAGGAATGGGCCTGTGTCGGTATCCCCACCAAGCACTGTCATTGGCTGGGAGCGGTGCAGACGCCATAATGGATCCAGAGGGATGGCTGCTGAGGCTGTCAGTTAACTGTGCTCCTCCCCACGGAAGACGTGGGTGGCACATTTCCATGACCACCACAATGCTCAGATGAATAAATAGCTGACTATAGACGACTGAAAATAAAATATGGTGATCAGTAGGAGCCAAAATACAGGTTCACTGAAAACCTTTCCAAATTAGCCTTCTGGTATGCGTTGGAAATGGGCTTACAATCATATGATTAAATTTCTATCCTTTTGAATAAGATGTAATGGATATACTAAAAAAAATTTAGTACTTTTCAGTAAATATAACTAGTTTTTTACCTGGGTAGTTGGTTCCAATTTGAAAGCATCTGTCTAATGGAACGCTTCTGTGCCCTGCCCATTGGCTTTATCTTCCTCATGATTTTACTAAAGATTTGGGAGGAGTGCTTATTAAATTTACACACGCCACAATGCTTGGACACATAGCTGACACCACAAGTGAAGTTTCAGGATGCAAAATAGTCTTGTCCCTTTTAAGTGCGAGACTGGAATAAATGAATTGTTTTGCTTTAAAAGTCAGTGGTACAAATACAGAATTACCGCTTGGATTGATGGGTAAGGATTGGGAATTCTAGCTAAGCATAAGCCTGTTTTGAACAAACAGTATGATGTGATTTCTAGAAATACTAATTTAATCTTAGACTACAGTAATAAAGAGTGTGTGGTTCAGATCAAAGTCAGAGTACAGGTCCATTTCTGCCTCTCACGTGTTAAGAAGATACAAACTGGAATGTGTCAGAAGAAGCCAAATAAGGATGATAAGAAGGAGAGCTAACACTCACTGAACTTCGCCATGTGCAAAGAAGCACTATTCTAAATGCTTTCTGTGTCTCAATTAATCTTACAACAGTCCTATAAGGTAGATCCAGTGTTATCCTCAGTTTACAGAGGAGGGAACTGAGGCACAGAGAGGTCCAGTAATTTGTTCAGGGTCACACAGCTGGCGAAGGGTCGGCTTGTGATTTGTGGTTGGGCTGGGGATGTTTACCCTGGAGAGCAGATGGCTGCAGGAAGTCATGAATGCTGTATTCAGCTGGATACAGAAACATATTTGTTCAGTGTTAATACAGATGGTTAGAAGAACAGACTTGTTTTTGGATGAATAGGCTGAAGTGGGAAGTAAAAAGCTCTTCTGTCTCAGGAGAATTGTTGGAGAGACTCCTCTCAAATCATGTTGTTATACCACATAATCTTTAAACGAATTCCCTACTTACCCTATTTTCTGAACATATTTCTGAAAAGCCTTGCTTTTTCTTGGGTAAGGTGACACAGCATGCTTGGGCTAGTTATATAGACCACGTACACTAAGAGATGAGCCACCACTTACATTAGCCCTGAGCTACTGCTTCAGTTAATGGTCTACATGACTTGGGGATTTAATGGTACAGCTGGAGGAAATATGCTGAAGCTACATGGTGCCGCGCTGAAATAAATGTCTAGACTAGGTTAACAGCTGAATTTTCTATAGAAAAAATAATATGGATTTTGTAATTACTATGTCTTGCCTAGTCAAGAAGTAAAAAATCATGCACTAAAGTTTTTCCTTTTAGAATGTGGCACTTATGATGCTCTTGATAGTTTTTCATTTTGTTTTCATTACATACTTAGTGTTAGAAACTCATTTTAAATTTATTCATGTAGATTTCTCCAGCATTTCTTATACCATGTGTGGAGCCATAAATAAAGCAACTCCCATAAATTACATGCAATCTTTTCCCCATAGAGTTCTGTATCTTATTTTATCTTTCTGTTATTCTTGGTAGTTACAGGCAGTAGCTGTTGGCAAAACCAAAACTGCGGTTCCGCAGCTCTTAATTCCTAGCCTGACACTCTTTTGTCGAGATTATAAATGCTTTTTGCTTTGTAGTATTTAATAAACTTTTTTTCTAAAATTAGAAATAAAATATGAAGCAAAAAGTATAGCTAAAGATAAAAATGTTTTTAATCATTTTATTATATCAGAAATAAACATTTATTGTAAAAACAATTGAGGAGTACAGAAAAGAAGAGAAAAACAAAGAATTGTCCATAATCCATGCTGCCAAGACCACCACTGTTAACATCTAGGAATAATGGCTCCCATTCTTTCTTCTATGTGTCCTTGTTCACATTGCCGTGATCATAGTACATGTATAAGTTTGTCCACTTCACGTAAGCAGATAAATGACGCATTAGTATATAATCAGTTTTTATTATTATTAATCATGATAATTTGAAAACTCTAGCTCTGACCTTCCCTCCCAACCCTTGCTAGCTGCTAGTCCTGTGCTGTAGCCTAAACAGTCTGCATTTCTCAATGAGGGCAGTCATATCACTTGTGACCTTTGTGTTTTCTGTTCGTATCACAGTGCTGTCCATGCTTCCAACGCTGAGAGAGGCCTTAATGCAGCAGCTCAATTCTGAGAGCCTCACAGCCCTGCTGAAAAACAGGTGAGTGCAAGTGACAGCATTTTTCATTTATACACTACCTTAAAGTTTATCTAGTGAACTGAAATACTTTTCAGACATCTTTGTTTCCTTATTTTTCTTTATAATTAAAGCATATAATGTATAAGCTGATTTAGAAAAAATATTTACTAACTATATCATTGAATTCGTATTTTATTTTGTCCATTTATTTATGCTCTACCTTGATCCACAAAGCATTTAGGTCAACAATATTTGTATGTGTTCTGGTTTCATATAAATAGATCTAAGATGTCATTTCAACATTGTTCAGAAATTTAGTTATTGAATGCTTATTGCAAGTGTTCCTGAACCAGATGATGTGAAGCTAAGTTATGTCAAACATTGTGCTTCTTAAAGAGTTTACAGTGTAATAGGTAAAGCATGTGAACGTCCATTTTAGATACTAAGGCATGTGAAGTTACATTTTATGTTATTAACAAAGTGAAGTACAAATGTAACATGAACATACCGTAATGACAGTTCACCTTACCGTGACAGTTTACTGTGTACAAAGCGCTTTCACACATATGACCTTGTGTATGGAGTGCAGTATGTGTCCGGGAATTGTAATGTAGTGTGATGCTGTGTTCTTTTGAAAAGACTTCTGGAAGGATGGGTTATTAGTTTAATGAACAACGTGAGGGGAAATGGTTTCACTAAATAAATTTTCATCACTGAAAATTTACTGAAATAGTCACTTTCCTTGTATTCCCCCTCCAATAGCCAGAGAGAAGGAAGTGCTATTTCTGGAGAATCTCTCTGTGCCAGGCCAGTGCTAGACACTTTACATACATGCGCCCATTTAATTTTCACAGTATCCTTGTGAAGCAGATATTATCATCTCCATTTTGCAGATAGGAAATAACAGGTTAAATAACAAGCTGGGAAATTTCTTTGAAAACATTTTCTATAGTCAGAAAATACCTCCCAAAATAGCAATAGATTTGTATACTTGGGATTTTTTTTTAATCTGATTAAAGTATAATGCTAGTGATACGGGGTTTCCCCCTAAATTTCATCATTCTTAAAGATTGACACACTTTCATCACTACTTACAGATGTAAGGTTTAATTTATAAATTAGTTCATATAATTATATGAAGAAGAAGCATATAGGCAGATTACTCTCAGTCAGATAAATGTTTAATTACCACCAGTATGTACATAGTAGAGTATAAAGAAATATGTACATCAGTAGGAGATAAAGAAAAGAAATAGATTTTAATTGCCTTCAGTTTTAGTCTTATTGGGGGGGCAGGACAAATGAACTAAGCGAAGAGCACTTTTATAAAAGCAACATAAGAGACACAGTAAACATAGTGGCACTCTTCCTTCCTGGTGAGTGTCTTGCCTACAAGGCCCTGTGTTCCCTGTGCTTTGGGGGATTCAAGATAGTTAAGATAAGGCCTCTTTCCTGTTAAGACCTTGTCATCCAAAGGAGGAAGTAGATGAAATAAATGATCATATTCAAGGCATATTATGTTTAGTCTGTGGTAAAACAGTAAAAGGAAAATATGGGGAGAAAATGTGGGAGGCCAGAGAAGAAAGGGATTAGTTTTGATGGATAACCGTGGACAGCTTTAAAGAAAAGCTGTCATTCCTCTTTCCTGACTCAGTACACAGAGAGGAGAATTTCTTAAATTCCTCAGAGTTTAAGATGGGCAACAGTTCTTATTCGCTGTTTCCTCTTTAAATATTTCAATGTTATTTTTTCTCGCCTTTCTTTTGATTTGAAATTACTGTTTGCTATTTGGGAGTAAAAGGGTCCATTTGAAAAATATTTGCTTAAAGTGGGGCTTGAGCCCTTACAAAGTGTGATTAAATAAAGCCTCCAATCTTATGATTGCTTTTGTATTAGTTTTCAGTCAACTCCGGTCTCATATAAGCCTGTCAAGCAAGTTAATTTTCTCTTTAAGCTAATTATGATAATAACTAATCAGAAATAAATAAAAGATTTGATAGTTTTATTAGTTTTGTAATAGCAACTAAAAATCCACACACTTATTGAAGATTGATAATGGCAGTGAATTTTCAGTGGCAAAGAATCTTAAACATCCTCCATGACAAGAGAGGTATAACATTGTGAAAGGATTAGTTTAATTCTTAAACAGATGTTTTAGTGACATTAAAGAGTCTCATATTTAACTTGGAGTTATCCATTTCCATCAGACAAATCATTTGAGAGGAATCTTTGCTTAAAAATTACTTTGTTCTACATAAATTTGAAATCGGAATCTTTAAAAAAGATAGTAAGGTGAATTCTTTTTCGTTTTTTGAAAAGGCGTACATTGTGAAATGATTACCACAATCAAGCTAATTAACATATCCATCACCTCATATAGTTACCCTTTGTGTGTGTGTGTGTGGTGAGAACACTTAAGATTTACTCTCTGAGCAAATTTCAAGTATACAATGCATTATTATTAACAGTACTAATCATGCTGTGCATTAGATCTCCAGAACTTATTCATCTTATAACTTTAAATCTACTTTTAAGGTCTAAAAATGGTAAATGTCAACATAAAGAAATGTCTTAGGTGGCCATAACTCTGTCCTTTCCCACTGAAGTCACCCCAAAGAAATACAGTTTCAAGGCACACACTCTAATTGCCGTTCCACAGACTGCTGCTACTAAGTACCTTAGATTTCTGTAAAAAGCACTTTGAAGTTTTTCTGGGGCAACATTCAAAAGAAAATGTGATTTACTTGCATTAAAATATCTAACCCTTGAATTTCGGTTGATTCCCAATCTAATCAGAATAAGTATGGCATTCCACCACGAGGCTTGAACATTAGCTAAAGGTTGCAGCAGTACCTTGCAGGCCTGACTCCGTATATCTTCTGAACGTGTGCCATCTAGGAAAGCGATAACTGAAGCTGGAGAGTCTGTTCAGTGACAAAGAAAGATAAGAAACTAGTAATATCCCACAATTGTAATGGTAACTTATTGAAGTGTAAATTTATGTCTGAATATAATAAAGAATATGGGCTTGTATTTTATATATCTTTGTGGTTTTTTATTTCATTTTTCTAATAATTTATTTTCATTGCATTTTACAAAAGTATTGGTCGGTGACATATTGGAAATTAGAAAGAAAAAAAAAAACCTGTTCCTTCCACATAGGTGGTCTGAAAAACACTGAACTCCATCAACATAATACATCCACACAGTGGAGTACTATGCTGTGGTTAAAAAAAAAAAAAAGGTGACTATCATCTTTCTACTTCTGTGGAATGATCTCCAGGATATATTGTTATATTTTTTTAAAAGGTAAAGAAAAATGTGTATAGTATGCTACCATTGATCTAAGGAGGCAGTTATGAATATACACACATATCTGTTTATGTAAAGCAAAACGATGGCAAATTAAAGTATATTTTTTTAATAGTCACCTGTGAAAAGGGGAGAGAATGAAGGAGGATAGGAACAGACTTCTTTGAATATACTGCGTTGTATAAATTTGACTTTGGAACCATATAAATATTTTACATATTTATAAAACTGTATTTAGCGTTTAAAAAGCAATGTCTAAAAAGTGATAGCAAAATAAATCAAATTAACCTAAATGTGTATCTAGTTAGTGGTATAACCACAAAGACAGAAACTAGGCCAGGTGACTTTTAAAGCAGCAATTTGACTGTATATTCTTAGTGGGATATATACTGTTAGAGCACACAGAATTGAAAAAACAAAAACTTTAAACTCTTTCAATATTGCTGTTGCTGTTCTGAGACTGTTGTGCATAGAGTGAGGGATGAAACAGGTTAGTAATTATGTTGGTTTCACTGATTTCTAGTGTGGACAAAAAGAAATACAGATGTAAGATCAACAAGATGAAGTTGAAAACCCTGTGGTCCTATTTTTTTTTTTTTTTTTTTGAGGAAGATCAGCCCTGAGCTAACATCTGATGCCAATCGTCCTCTTTCTGAGGAAGCTTGGCCCTGAGCTAACATCCGTGCCCATCCTCCTCCACTTTATATGGGACGCCGCCACAGCATGGCCTGACAAGCAGTGCATCCGTGCGCGCCCGGGATCCGAACCGGCGAACCCCGGGCCGCCGCAGCGGAGCGCGTGCATTTAAACACTTGAGCCACCGGGCCAGCCCTGCTGTGGTCCTAATTTTGAATTAGAAGTGTCAGTATGAATTCATGGTGTATTTTATCTCTTTGAATATATGTTCATATAAATAAATACACGCACACATATTTAGTAGCTTAGTCTACCTAAAAGGCTTAGAAATAATGACCTACCCAGTAGCAATGAATATCTTTAATCAAAGGTTGCAGTCTCAGACTACCACATCCCACTACAAGGAACCAGGACTCTTGGACGGGTAATGATTTCAGGTCTGCGGCAAGAATTGAACAGGATGAACCCAGAAGAACTTTTCATGTCAGTAAGCAAGGAAGCTCTCAAAGACTAATGGGGTCATGTCAAAAGGATTCAAAAACCAACCGAATAGTCCCCACAATAGTCAAAGATGGGCAATGGATCATCAATAAGAATAGTATCAATAAGATACTGAACATCAATAAGAATAATAACTACAGTAGGTTGAAACACATTGAATATATATAATTTAAATTCATGTGTTTGTAATGATACTTTAAAACAAAAAATACTTCATCATCTACCTTTGAAGGATTATAGGACCTGCTTCATTATTTTTAAAAAGGTAAATGAGGGAAAGAAAGAAACATTTTTCCTGCTTTTTCTGTATGATTTTATAATACATATATGCATATGCTCTGAAGGAGGAAAAAGACTGGAATGATCTACCAATGTACTAGTGAAAATCGCTATTATCATTGGTTACTGAAATTGCAGTTGTTTTTTACTATATTTTGTGGGCTTTGTTTTTGGCAGTTATCCTGTAATATAATATAATTAAATATAGAGGTATAAAGTTCATAGTTTTCTGTTATGTTACCTGGTTGTTATTTTCATATTTTCTGATTTTTTTCTTTAGGCCTTCAAACAAGCTAGAAATATGGGAGGATCTGAAGATAATAAGTAAGCCTACATAATTTGTGTCACAGCACATCCTTAAAATATTTATAAAGGGAAATTTTTGTACTCTATTGTATGAATGACTTTTCTTTACCTCATAGAGTTGTCAGGATTAAATAGTTCTCCTATAGCAAGTAGATCAATGTCTAGTCATAGAAAGTGCTCAGTAAATATTAGTGGTTGTGGTGGTATTATTATTGTTATGATAATATGTAAATCTGTCCTAGACTACATGTGCCTATATTAGGGACTGATATCTGCAATATTATACTTCAAGGGAAGTTTTTACTCAAACCCAGATAGTAACTTTACTTTGATATTGTGTGCAAACTTTCATTAGTGATAAAAATTTGAAACGAAGAGCTGCCCTGGGGTGTATCTATGTGTGTGTGCGTATATATATACATTTACACGCACCCATGTCTCAGAACTTCATACTATCAATTATTCCTACATTTTCCCATCCATTCACCTAATCCTTATCAACTGAATCATGCTTAAGCTTTGCCTATTTGAAAGTAAATTAAACCTTTGTAGCACCCTGTACTTCCTTTCAGCTATTGTACTTTCTTACGCCCCTTACTCAATACCAAAGATTTCTGCATTCCCTTTTCTTCACTCCCACTCACTCTTTGACAGACTGGCTTCCACTCCTATGCCTCCACCCGAGCAGATCTCGCAAACATCAGTAGTGACTTCTGTGTTGCTAAATCCACTGGACGTTTTCCTCCTGCTAGACCTCTTGGCAGCAGTCAACACCTTTGCTGTCTCCTCTCTTTTGAACACTCTGTCCTAGATTGCTGTGATGCCTAGTCTCCAGGTGTCCCCTATCTTTTTGTATCTGCCTCCAGCCCTTTAATGGGCTCATCCTCCTTTACCTGCCAGTGAAGGCTGGAGTTTGTCCATGCTCCGCCCTCTTCTCTCGCTCTGAACCAGCTCCTGGACAGCTCCGAATTCTGAGGCTGCAACTGGGAGTACTTCCCAGTCCTTTCTTGTTTTCCTTTCTGAGCTAATAATATATAACCCTTCACTCAATATATTCGTCCTCGTTATTATTGGTTATTGTTTCAATCAAGAGATCATACCTAATTTACATTAAACAAGTTATAAGGAGATAGACTGAAATATTTTGAATTGGTATATTTTTGTACTTGAAACAGTTACAAATGTATTTTTAAAGTCATCTTATGAAAAAATAACCATAGGGATGGTTCGTGATTTTACTTATTTGTCTGTGTTTTAACAACAGTACCAAGTGGTTTTCTTTTCTCCGTGCAGGTTTCACAAGAAGTATCGTAGCTGTATACAGTACTTGTATGCTGGTGGTTCTTTTGCGAGTCCAGTTAAACATAATTGGTGGATATATTTACCTGGATAATGCAGCAGTTGGCAAAAATGGCACCGTAAGTTTAATAGACTTAGATGGTGCCCTTTCTTTCGAGAGGTTCGAAATTTAACAGAATATTACTTATCCTGATAATTTCTATAAAATAAATTTCTTTATATTTCATGTGATTATAAAATTTTACCATTATTATTTTTCCTATTTTGAAACTAGACTTTTTGCTATATTGAAGAATATTATTTTTTGTATGATGACAGATAGAAACTAGACTTTGGTAGTGAACACGATGCAGTCTATACAGAAGCCAAAATATAATGATGTACACCTGTAATTTACAGTGTTATGAACCAGTGTGACCTCAATAAAACAGTTTTTAGAAAAAAGAATATTATTTTTCCTATCACTCTAGGTCCTGAAATCTCAGTTCAAGTTACATTGAAATATTATTTATTTACTAATAGTATTAGGTAATTTAACCTTATTTCTATTTTGTACAGACAGTTCTTGCTCCCCCGGATGTCCAGCAGCAGTATTTATCAAGTATTCAACACCTCCTGGGAGATGGTAGGATTTTATTTGTGACCTATAAACTAATTTTAACTCATTCATGTGTATTATTGAGGAATTTAAGAAGTGAGCAAGCCTGTTATGTTTGTTTCTCCTGTAACAGGCCTGACAGAATTGATCACTGTCATTAAACAAGCTGTGCGGAAGATTTTAGGAAGGTGAGGCATTTTGATTTGGTTTTTCTGACTTTCTGATCCTGATGGATAAAAGAAAAACTGGAATTGTTCTACTGAAGCTGGTGGCGTGACAAATGGTGGTGTGTGAAATTCTTTGTAAGCTGACACAGACACAGCCCTGGGGTATTGCCGTGTGGATTCCATTTTCTTCATCGGTGTCAACCTTTTGGTACTAAGGGAAAAGTTTTGATGCTTCATTGTCTGTTGATTGATTTCCAAACAAACCAGAAATATTTGGGTCATGAGATAAAAGACCTACTGTAAAATCTGCATCTGAGGCTTTTTTCTCCTGTTTATAGTAGTAATATCTATCATTACAGTGGGAATTTTCTTGTGAAATCTGCAGCAAGATTTTTGTTGGCTCTGTAATAATGCCCTTAACTGATGGCTGGTTTCTTAATCAACTCGAGTGATTTCACGGTCAGCAGTTTCAGGTTTGACTGGATGAAACAGAATCTCAGATAGTAACCTGTTAGGAAAAGAGTGTGTATAGGATGTGTTGTACAGTTTCGAGTGTGTATAGGATGTGTTGTACAGTTTCAGTTTATCCCAATTCTCTTTTCTCTGTTTCTAGTGTTTCTCTTAAACATTCTTTGTCCCTTTTGGACTTGGAGCAAAAACTAAAAGAAATCAGAAATCTCGTTGAGCAGCATAAATCTTCTTCTTGGATTAATAAAGATGGATCCAGATCTTTATTATGCCATTATATGATGCCAGATGAAGAAACACCATTAGCAGTTCAGGTGCTTAATTCATAGCCATTTAGCCAAACCAGTTACTCTATATTCTGAAATTTTTTTTTACTATCTCTTGAAATTTAGATTTCTGAGTCTCTTGAAAGGTAAGCAATTTAAAGACATATATTTCAATAATTTAAATAAAACCTCATTAATTTAGAAAACAGACTGCAAATATGACTGATTTCTAGTTAGAAACATTTATAATTTTAGATATTCAGCCAATTTTTATTGAGTATTATGTGACAGACACTGTGATTGGAATGTAAAATGAGTAAGACCTGTTCATTACACTTGGGGAACTCAGGAGACAAATTCAGTTCATGTGGCTAGAGCATAATTGTATGAGATGAGGTAGCAGAAGACAGAGCTGATAGTTGAGGCAAAGTCGTGAAGAGGTTTGTATGCCAAGGTAAAGAGTCTGAACTTCAGTTTATGGACAAAGAAGGATAATTTTAATCAGGCTAGTGCCACAAGGGCATTTGCTTTTTAAAATAAATCAGTGATGGCAGTATCAAAATGGACTGACAGAAGTTGTAGTCATCCAGTTGAGAAACAAGGCCTAATCTAACAATTGTCAGCCATGGTGTTGCTACACACTGGTGTGTCCTGGGCAGCTGTGATTTAAGTTATTCATTGATTAAGAATAATAAAAATGCCAGAGATTGCAGATTACATATGTCATTTTAAAATAATGTTTGGTTTTTTTCATATGTAAGTAGACTGCACCCATTCTTTGCTTTGAGAGAAGAATGTCTCTCACTTGAAAACTGGAGAAGCCTTAGCCTGGAGAGGCCCTAGGCCATATCTCAGCAGGGAGGCCTCATTAGAATAAAGACTGCCATGTTCTTCATTGTCCACAGGATTTCCCCTCCCCTAGAGACCCCAAAAATAGACCTGTTGAGTGCTGAGAGACCCGACATGCATGAGTAGGCCAAGAAAAAGTGGTACCCATTTAAGGGAACCCTGTGACCTGGAGGATGGAGGCTAAACCGAACAAGCAGAACAGATGGGACAGAATTCGTGAAAGAAACAGGAGAAAACTTACTTGCAAATTAGAACCTCAAGGAGATGCAATACAAGTATTAAAAAGCCTTCTGGAAGGTTAGAACAATTTCCAAATTCTAAAATTCAACAGTGGAACTAAAAAAGAAAACAAATCAAAGAGAATGAATGATGAGGTGAAGAGAGGAATAATGGACTAAATCTTACCTGAACTGAATTAAAACCTGAAACTTCAGGTTGAAAGGACACACAGAGCCCCAGACTAGACTAGATTGATTTTAAAAAGACACATACATATCTTGATAAAACGTCTTACCAATAAAAGAAAAAAAAAAAAAATCCCAGGCCTCTGCAACCTCAAAGACTGTTTTTTTCGTTGTAAATATATTCTAGAAATGTGTCCAAGAGCGGCCAGGTAAACAAAGGTCTCACAAAGTATACTTTTATTCTAACTAATGTTTTAAATACTACTTACATGTGAACATTTAGAGTTTTTTTGAATTTAACATTTTTTGATTGTTGATAGAAAAAAGACTTTTAGATTTCCTGAACTCTTGAGTTTATTAATATGATTAGTTTCACATAACCCTGTGCTAATGTTTGAAACCCTGAAGTATGGCCTTTTCATTTCACAGGCCTCTGGGCTCTCTCCTAGAGATGTCACCACTATTAAACTACTCAATGAAACTAGAGACATGTTGGAAAGGTATGTATACTGCATGTAACAGAAAACATGTGTTTCTATTTTGAATGTACTTATGACCATTTTTTAGTTTTCCTGAACTACTTATTCAACATAATAATTTGTTAAAATTAAATTTGGAATCTGTTCCTCTACCTTTAGGTAGGATTTCCTACCTAAACTAGTGTTTCTCTTATTAGGGTGGGGAGGGAAGCAGAGACTTTTTTCAAGATACCCATGACTTGCCCACCTACTTCCCTAGCCTAGAGATTCTGATGTACTAGTTGAGGGACTAGACTATAGTTAGCATTTACATTTTGAAAAAAAGCTTTCAAGAGTGATTCTGGTATACCTCGTGTATACTAGTAAATGTTCCTTGTTAAAAAAAAAAAAACAGAAACTGACATTGTAGCTGCAGCAGTTCTGACTGCCAACTTGAAGTCACTCAGTGCTGACTTGAGGAGTTGAGAAAAGATGCTCTTTCAAGCCAGAGCTGGCCACCTACTGCTGATCCTCATGTATACGTACATGTGCACACATGCTAATGTGTGTACACACACACACACACTCAATTTTAAGAACTACTCCCCGTAACCTTTTCAAAATAGACTATAATGTTCCTAAAACTTTGAGTGGTAAAATTTTTACATCTTCCCTTCCCTAAATTGGTATTACTATTTTAAACCACCCAGAAAAGAACCAGCATGTTAAAAATGGAAAAAGCACCAGACTGCATTAGACCAGAAGACCTAGATTCAAGGATGGCTCTCCTGTTTATTAGCTGTTCAACCTTAGTTGAGCCACTTAAACTCTTTGAGGTAGTTTTATCATTGTAAAATCTGAGTGGTAATATCAGTCCTACCCATTTTATCTTAAGTGATTAAAATATCAAAGTTTCTTTTCATTTAAGACCATATTCTCTAGTTCTGTTTTCTGAGGAGTTATATCTTCTGCTTATAATATTTTTTCATGATCTTAAATGAGCAAATTTTTAAGTTAACTTGGCCACTGAATCTACTCTCTGAATTCCTCAAGTTCTAGTCTCTTGACTTTCTACAGTAGCAATCTCCACATTTTTTCTTATTCAGGTTTCCAGCAAATCACTCCATGAAGCTCTAGAAAAGGTCATCAGTGATCTTTTGCCAGATTCAGTCAACTTGTAATATTCATCTTACTCGGCCTTTCTCTGATAATTGGCACTGTTGATCAAGGCTTTCTTGAAATTCTTTTCTCATATGGCTTCCATGACAGTGGAAGATGTTATGGGAGACGTAATCTCCCAATTTTTTCCCCCATTCTCAGATCATTTCTTCTTAGGTTCCTCTATGTCTGTATTTCCTTTAAATGTTAGTGTTTCCCAGATGCTTTTTCTTATTTCATCCTCAACTGCCCCAAGCAGTTTTATATTCCCCGATTGCTTTAACTACTGTCTGTATGCTAATAATTCCCAAATTTATAGCACTAGCCCTCCACTCCCATGAGTTGGTCTGGATTGAGATTTCTACATATCCAAGATAGAACTAATCTGTTCAACTAGGCATGTTCTAACTTTTCATAGCACACATATATTGTTCTTTATATCAAAGAGTTTTTGTGAGGTACTAACATGGTATGATGAGAAGAGCTTGAACTTTAAGGTCAAAAGGGCCTGGGTTCAAATGCTAGTTCCCCCATTTACTACTTATATACCTTTGGACAAATTCCTTCATCCCTCAAGTATCCAGGTCCTCACCTGAACATGATAAGAAAATTGTCTGTTTCACTAGGATTTCATGGCAGAGTATGTAAAGCAAACCAGTAATCTGTGACTTGAAGAGGGTTCCTCTTCAAGAGTTTCATCAAGAGAAGTAATACGATTATTGATATTTTTAAAAGTATGTTGTACAAAGTGCTGACTGACGTAAGAAAATCTAGCGGAATGGATGAATATTCTCACTGTGTTGTGCTAAATGATAAGCTCAGTTTTTATGCTTAATTTGGAAAGGTTGCCTCCTTCATATGTTTCTGTAGTGTTTTAGGCTGTAAAAACTGGATCGTGACCAGAAATGCTGGTGGCTGCCAATGGCAACCACAAAGTGACTGAGTTTATTTCCTTTTCCGTGGAGCATCTAAAAGGTAGCTCACCCCCCTTGTTTTGTGTAGTCCGGATTTCAGCGCCGTTTTGAATACCTGCTTAAGCCGAGGTTTCAGTGGACTGCTGGACAACATGTCTGAGTTCTTCCGACCCACTGAGCAGGACCTGCAGCGCGGCGACTCCGTGAACAGGTACGGCGACAAGAGTGTTGCCAGTCTGATGGATGCCCTGATAGAGTAGTGCTTTGGATGTGTTGATTGTTTGTTCCAGGTAACAAAAAAATCATAAAGGATAAATTTGAACGCTCATTTTTCAACAAATTACACTCTGTTAAGCCAATGACTTTTTCATTATTAAAAGTTCCTTCTGGATTCAATATGCAAACTTTGATTTCTTCCAAAAATTTTGCCACTGTATAGAAGTACGTAAGTCGTGAAACCACCTTTGTGTAGGCCAAATTCCAAGTATCGGGCTCTTTCTTTTTAACTCTTTAGAATACAAAACTGAAAATGTATTTAAGTTTCAATGTGTTCTCTGTGATTACTCCAGTACCTCAAGCCTTCACTGGCCTGTAGCACCTAATTCAACACTTCAGTCATTATAATAGCCAGGCATTCTTGTTGTGTATTTCCATTTGATGAATGATCTCCTAGTTCTACACCTACGTAAATATTTCATTTTCAGCCCTTAAAGTAGGATTGGGAATATTTAGTTAGTGCAATTGTTAGTAATTTTAATCATAACTATTACTAAGTCATGGATTCATGCTGCCAAAAAGTATCTTATGGTTTTATATCCTTGTCATCTCAACATGAGAACCCTGGCTCGCCTGTTAGAATTTACACTCTTTAATAACTTCTGTTTCGCAGTTTTTATATTAAACTCAGAAAAGAATAGGTACCAGAATCAATGTTAACTGACTATAAACTCATCCATTAAAATAAGGGGAAACAGATGTATGGTGACAGATAAAAACTAGACTATTGGTGGTGAACATGATACAGTCTATACAGAAACTGAAATATAATAATGTACTCCTGAAATTTACACATATTATAAGCCAATACGACCTCAATAAAATAAAAAAATTTAAAACAATAAGAGGAAACAGTAACTGATATGCAGTATGTGTGTACAATATCCAGCTTAATTCTTAAATACATGGGGCAAGAGATTATTTGCTCAATTCTCTGGGACCCTTCTTTATTGTACAAAAAAATAATAATTTGTAATTAACATTGAGGATTTGGAATGCTTAGAGCCATAAAATTTATTTTCTGAAGCAACTTAAATATCATCCTAAAATCTTTTTAAGTAATTCTCTAAATTATACAAAAATAAATTTTAGCCCCTGTATGCTCCCTAAATCAAAGCACTCCAATTAATAAAATTTCACTGTAATCTCTACCTACCAAGGTATTAGTTATTTCCTGAGTGGTGCTAAGAGTTGTAATAGTTGCTTTAACATAGAACAAATACTTGATCTTATACACTGAAGAATTATAAAAATTCCTTTGCAACCACATCAACCATTGACAGTCTTCCTTCTCTGAGCTCCTGTAGTACTTATTATCTATACTTCCGTGTACAACTTACGTGTTTCACCATGAACTAGAGTCTTATTCCTCAGTTATATTTTAAGCCTCCTCCCAAAGTCAGAGACTATCTTATGCCCTTTCATATTCCATTACACACACTAGGTACTCGGTAGATATTTCCTATCTAAGTTGTTCCCTTTCATGTCGATAACCAACTTCATGATCCATGGTTCAATACTAGAAACATTCCCATTATGCCTATTGTCATTCCTATAGTTTAACATGTTGTGGAAGTTCTAGCCATCACAATAAGTCAAGAAAAAAGATTTTTAAGTATTAGCAAAGAGACAAAATATCATTAATTATGTATACTACAATTAATAATCCAGAACCTTCAAGAGAATCAACTGAAAAGTGATGCAAACTAATAAAAGCTCAAATTATATATATAGGTGTGTATTATATGTTATATTTATGTATATACTATATATAACATATGCATATATGTATATATATTAATATATGTATAATAAGTATTTAAAAATCAAAAGGTTTCCTATCACTAGTAATAACCCAATAGAAAATATAATGGATAAAGGATGCAACTTAAAAGGAAAACTGTACAGACTTGAAGTATGGCTACAGATGTAAGAGTCCTAAATAAAATATAAGCAAATGAAATGCAGAAATCTGTAGCAACAGTAATAGCAACCAATACTTCCTTCTTCCATGTGCAAGTATGATGATGGGTATTTTTCAGAACATTATCTCATTGAATTCTGAAAACAACTCTAGGAAGTAAGTACTAGAATTTTACTTTTTACAGATGAGGACACTAAGACAGAGAAAAATCAAATAACCTGAGGTCAAGCAACTGCAAGTAGTAAAGCCAGATGTTCAGTCACTTCAACCTCACATCAGAGCCTGGGATTTTTAATTTTTCTCTAACACTGTGACGAATTAGGGTTCATTTTAAGAATGCAAGGAAGGTTAAACTATTAAGAAAACTGTTACAGTAATCCATAACATTAATAAGTTAATAGGACAAAACGCAAACATCATCTTCAGTGTTGCTGAAAAAGAATTCAATAAAACTTAACATTTGTTATTGACAGAACCCCTTCTAGAGGCCGGCCCCATGGCATAGTGGTTAAGTTCGGCACACTCTGCTTTGGCAGGCCAGATTCGCGGGTTCAGATCCTGGGTGCAGATCTACATCACTCGTCAACCATGCTGTGGCAGCGACCCACATGCAGAATAGAGGAAGATTGGCACAGATGTTAGCTCAGAGCTAATCTTCCTCAGCAAAAAAAAA